TAATGACCTTGACTTCGACCTTTGAGGTCAGTTCCAGATCAAGTGAGTAGAACTCCTCCTTACATTGGAACTGAAAGTAGGAGGAAGTTTACGTTCAAATATGATCACTACAATGACCATAACTATTTTGTTCAAGGCCATTTCAAGGTCAAATCAAAACATCGAAAACGATTTGCTCTAGCAAGAATTTTCGACAGTGCAGTTAAATTCAAAACTTCCAAAGAAAGTCACTTATTCTCATACTGGAAATGGAAAAAGCAGGAAATTTCACGAGCGTAAAAATCAGACGTTTCTTTTAGAAACTTAGACTTTTGACCTTGAAGCTCGTGGTCAAGAAAACGCCACAGCTGTACTGTCAAACACTTTTGTTGGAGCAAATTGTATTCGATGAAATGAAACGGCCTTGAAGACATGACCAACACCTTGTTCAGACATGGAATTTCCCCCTTTTTTCAATTCCGATGTGAAAAATGACGAAATCATTTGAAAGTATTAATTTGACACTGAAATTACGTTAAATATCGTGGCGAAGCTCACCGTCGTTATGACTTCCCGAAATCCTACAACTCTTGTTCTTATAGAATGTGCAATTTTTGAAACTTTCAGATTGGCAGATTAAAATGGGACATCCTGAATATTTAAGTGTAGTTAGTGTTTCCATCACCTCACAAGGAGCCTGCATATCACGGTACACGATTGAAACAGTTTAAATGCGAACTACTGCCACCCAGAACCGGATAATCTGTAATATTGTGAGCCGTGGGAAGCATAACATTATATCTCGATGTTAACAGTATTTGCCTTGAGTAGGTACTTTGCAAGAATTCTACCAGATAATTTGCAGAATTTAATTACGCTCGAAGAAATGGGGAACTAGAGTTGTTAGTGAAAATCGTGCCAGACAAACTTTTTGCATTATGACCTAAACACGCTGAAGTGTTCTATATCTTGAGAGGCGTCATGAGAACGTGTCTAGCATGTTGTAAACTCATTAAATAGTACAGGGTATTCCATAATTTAACGACGAGCTCTCCGATGCATTAAAGATACAAGAATAGTACGAAAAGTTTTTTTATAAAAGTCATATTAGGTCCCTTTGCGGAGAGGTGCCGAACGGGCGTTACTGTTTATCGTTTTCTCATAAATAACTTCTGACAGCATACTGAGACCTCACTTTACTGTGTCCATGCCAATTAGCTCATTTCGATGGTCAGATATACACTAGCCAAGACTACTGTTATTTCATTATACCGTACATGATAAGCCTTTAGGCTGAAACATCGGCCACTGAGAACGCAGTATGAAGACCATACGATAACTTTCATTTAAGCATCTTAGTTTTGCTTTGCATAGATAAAAATCGGCCGTAGATTATTATTCATCCGGTATGACTTTCGGTTTGACTTCACCAGTGTCAATTGGCGCTATTTCGACGCGGCGATCTTTGAAAGGAACGTGGAGTCCTCATTTCTGCTGAGACGCAAACATACATAAAACGAAATCAGACACACAACGTACGGATACGCATTCATCCATTCATCATTACTCATCCAAACTTGTTCACTCATCTAAACATACATGTTAAGTTATTGTAAAGTATCTTTGTGCATTTCAATAAAGTGATATGAAGATTACGTGTGTAGTCCATAAAAACAAGTGAAGTACAAACTTAGGCCGCGTAATAATAAGCATGTTTTCTTGGTAACACATATAACAAAGCTTTAAGATATTGAGTACGGTAAAGCGATAAATGAGCAGGTACGACCATAATCCCTTCCTATGTCACAACGTATGATGTTGAGACTATATGATCCAATATCCAAATCTGGCGCCACGCGGTGAGTAGGTCAACCTAGTTTATAGAGTGGTTGCATTTGACAAACTAAAATTGAAATTGGCACATTACTAGAGCAATCACGTAACTTCAGATTTGACGTGAGCATCTTCAAAATCTTATTGAACTCCGTGAGTGTACTTAGAACGTCACCGAGGTCCTCGATGTTTCATTTCATCAGATCAGCATAGGTTTGTTTATATTGTGCAAAGGCTATCCGCGTGAACACAGTAGAAGACCTAGATAGACCCAGATGTTGCAAATTTGGTAAGAGGAAAACAAACTCGTGTTTTTGAATCGAACAGCGACAACTTCAAACAAACAAGACATATGACAAAGCAGTATTGAAATTCCTTACCAAATGAATAGTTAGTGAGTATTTTTTACGTCTTCGGTGGTGTTTCACCGCAAATTAGCTTTGTTTTTGGGAATGCAGTTCACCCTGAAAAGAAAAATGTGTTCCAACTTTCAGGATACTCTGTATATCATGTATACTTGCTAAGAATAAAAGCTTAATTCGTGGTGAAGAGTTTCTGCCAGAGGTCTCGTTTTAGCACCTACGTTACAAATCAGAGTTATGTAAAGTTTTTTGAAATGACCTTGTTTAATAATAGTTTTCAAATAAATGGGGTCTACGTCTACCACTAGGGGGGGAGGGGGTATAAATCGAGCACCAAGGATGAGGTGGACAAAAAGGAGGCATTTTCAGACTGATAGTGGAATAAATGCTTATTTTATATGGTGAAACTTGTGATGTGAGATTAAAAACATGACTCCATTGTCTGGGTGAATAAAACCCACATGAATGTTTAGATCTCAGTTTGTTGTACGACGTTTTGAGCTCCAATGTGAAGGAGGTCTGTTCGAACATTTAATTTAGTATTTTGTTTTTATTTTGATTAGAATTATTTATTTCAATTTTGATGAGACTTAGTGTTTTGATTTATTTTAGAATTCTTTGACTTCCACCGATGGTGTTAAAATCAATATATCCTGAGTTATGTTACATTTTGCGAGAGCGAGCGGTCTAAAGAGGTAACAAATACCCGTACGGTATACAAATTATAACTCAGGTGCAAACCATTTCGAATCAGGACGACACTCCCCAATAAGCGCTAAATGGATCCTGACCACAATCGCTCATCTATGATCATGGAGGTGGAAGCCTTGCCTAGGAATGTATAAGATGCGGTGTTGGTTGCCAAGCGAACCAATGATGAAGTGTTGGAGAAATTGCGGCAATCTAACCTTTCATTTCGATCTAAATCGGATCTTAGGTCCGATCCAGAAGAAATCCTAAACAGATTCGACACAATTCACAATTCAAAAATGTTTATGCTCGAAATACAACCATTATTTGGGCGTAGAGTATAAACTAACGCATATTTTCAACAAGCAGCTTAATTCAAGGAACTGGTGTAACATATTGGCAATGCGGCAGATTGCCGCATCAGCGTTGCTAGGCAACGCAGTGATCAGCTTCGCTATACAGTTTTTAAACATATGTGTCTAAACACACTCTCTTGTAGACATTGAACTGCAGCCGTCAAACAAATTTGGTTTTCAGTGTATGTATTAAGTTTTTTTTTTTAATAGAAAAAGACAAATTTTCAAAACACTTACCGTTATTGCTTTTCATTATTTACTTTTTTTAGTTCATACATACAAATCGACAAAATGTTTGCTATTTTCAATAATGCTCGTTTATATTTATATTGCACGGTATAAGTATAAATCTTGCATTTCGTTATTTCGATCGGTAGTTACCGCTGACGTGAACGACTTCGGAGAGTATGTTACTTTCGGACATCTAGCAACTGTTTATGTTTGATTTCGTAACAGCCAGTTCAGTGAAGGTTAGAGATAAATCTACCTATTGTTCTTTTCACGGTTTTTGGTGGTTAATCACCAGGTCATTCAAAATAAGTAATCAGATTGACTAACTAGCCATGTGCGGAGCTTAATTTTTCTGAGGGAAACTGCACACTACATAATCAGATACTTAACGCAGATGCTTCTCGCTCTTAGGCACACACACACACACATTCACATATGAATTGGTTGATCAAGGCCGTTGGTTTCACTCGCTTTCCTAAAGTACTTTATTAACATCAGTTTTTTTTGACACTGTCAATACCAATTTCATAACCAACAGAAGAAGATAAATATTCCTGACGTTAAACATAAGAATGCATCATTGATCTTCACAACACTGATGTTAAGTCTGTGGGAATATTTCTAGACGATAAGTTAAATTTAAGAGAACATTGCGACTATATGGTTTCGTAACTTAACTCTCTATCTTATTTGTTTAAAAACTTAAGTTTGCTTATCTCTGAAAGTTAGCTGGTTGGAATATACTACGATCTTGTGGAGTCCAGACTAAAATATGTTATTTGGGGATGCTCTGCTGCGGCACAAAACGTTTTTATTACTCAAAGGTGAAAAATAGTAGAAGAATAAGAATAGTAGAAGTAGAAAATATAAGTTCTTAACGGTACCTGCTCTGGCGATACACGAGTTGGCGTTATACGTATTCCGGAGCAAGTCTAAATTTACTCTCAACAGAGAAATACACACAGTTGCCACGAGGTGGAGTGATGATAAACATGCCAACTTTTCTAAATTTAAGGTAGAAAATAAATCGACAAATATACTTGGTCCCAAAATCTTTAACATCCTTCCACAAGATATACAAGGAATGGCAAATCAAAATCACTTCAGGTATTTCTTGAACGGTTTTTTGATACATAAATGAATGTATAATATTTGTGAGTTCATCAGTGTTTAAATGTTGTTTGTTATCTTGTATTATCTATCGTATTGTTATGTCTCTGAATATATCAGGTAACCAAATAAGTTCTTGAGGTTGCTGTATATAGCGATTGTTTGTTACCTGTTGTCACTTCAGTATGAATCCTTCTTTACTCACACACATAAAAAGTTGCTGAAAATTGTTACATACCTAGTTTAAATAATTGAAAATGGCGACGAATAAAACAGTAATTCGAAGTTGTGAACTGTAAGAGTACAAACTTGGTACAAAGGCTGCAGCGGCGGCGCGAAAAATATGCATCGCATTCGGAGATGATGCCGTTAGTGATCGAACAACACAGAAGTGGTTCAAAAAACTTGCTTCGGGAGATCTCACTTTGAGCGATGACCTGCGCTCAGGGAGACCAAAAATCATGAACAACGAGGATCTTCGAAAGGTTAAGGATGCAAATTCCAGGACAACGTGCCAAGAACTTGCAGAAATGTTCAGAGTGAGTCCTAAAACTATTCGTTTGCATCGTCATCAGCTAGGAAAGATGTGGAAGTTACGCAAATGGGTCCCACATGAACTGACAAATGATAACAAGTTAAGCCGTCTTACCGTTTATTCAGCAAATATTTCACGCAACGCTGATGAACCATTTCTTAATCGGTTATTAACCTGCGACGTAAAACGGATCTTGCATACGAATTCTGAGCGTCCGTATCTTTGGTTGTCGCCTTCTGATTCGGTACTACCCACGCCCAAGGCTTCCTTGCACCCAAACAAGGTTTTGTTGTGTGTTTGGCGGACAGCAACTGGAATTGTCCATAATGAGTTTTTGGAAAGGGGTCAAACCATCACTGATAACTTGTATTGTGAGCAGCTTCAACGAGTACAAGCAGCACGCATCCAGAAACAGCATTCTTTGATCGATCGGAAGAAAGTGATACTCTTGCAGGATAACGTCAAGCCTCATACCGCAAAAGTGATCCGAGAAAAAATTTCTGAAGTCGGCTGGGAAACGTTACCGCACCCGCCATATTCTCTCGACAGTTCACCCAGTGATTATCACCTTTTCTTGTCTCTTGACAACTGTATAAGGCACCGACAGTTCACTAGTCGAGATGGTGTAATAGATGCAGTCCGCCAACTTTTTGACTCCAAACCCAGGAGTTCTACGATAACGGAATACAAAAATTGGTTCCACGTTGGCAAAAGGTCTCTGAATGTCATGGTAATTACTTTGACGAATAAATAGTATCTTATTGTTTTTGAATAAAAATTTATATTTTTCTACTAAAAAACGCACCAACTTATTTGGTCACCTGATACTCTACTAACGATTTCTATACAAACTTTGTTTGTCTGGAGAGAAATGCTCCTACCAAATGAAGACACAAGTGGATAAAGGTGTCATGTAACAAAATCGTTGTATGGAGAAAATTGACTTTTAACATTTTTTATTGGAACTTTTTACTTTATTGACATTTTGAAAATATGATTTAATTAGTTTGTTATTATCTTGTTTTTGCAATAAATTAATTACAGAATGAAACAATCACTCTTTAAGGTTAGTAAGCATGTAAAATGTTACATGACACCTTTCCACGTATGTCTTCAATTGTCTCCGAGCTCTTGGAGGGTGCAGACGTCGCTTTTTGTGAATCCCTGCGTTGCGACCTCGGAGTTACGATGAAATAAAACTTTAGAGCAAATATACGGGATAAAGTTTTGTGTGCAACTAAACAAAACACCAAAGTAGACATCGTATTATTTCCAGACAGCATTAGGGCGGGAGGAGGTCGCCGACGTCGCGGACACAGGATAATGTGACCCGCGTGCGGCAAATCCTCAACATAGACCGTCGACTGAGTGTTCATCCAATTGCTGAGAGTTTTCACAGACGCTCAATAATTCGATCGTGTGGAAGTGTGTGCGGAACTGAAGCAGTTGTGTGCGGATGATTCACTTTTCCTACACATTGTTATAAATGTAGTTGAGACAGTGCGATATGGAGACAAAGCAACAGAGTGGGGAATGGCACAGCATCGCCTCGCCCGAAGTTCGACTGAGCAAGTCCCGGGTGGATTTCATGTCCATTGTCTTCTTTGATGCTAAGGGAGTCGTGCACTATGAGTTCGTACACCAGCCAGACCGTCAGTGCTCAATTTTACAAAGAAATAATAATAATAATAATAATAATAATAATCGTCTTTATTGACCAAAAACATGGTACATTACATGGGGCGAGATTTAGCACCTGCTATTCCACCATCTAACTCCAAGACTGAACCACAGGGTCGCCCAGTTCCGAAGAGAAAGTGGGTCATTGTTGAAACTGCACAGACTGTAAACAACTCGCCGTCCCATTTTTTTTACGTTTTTTTTGTGTTTTCAAAAACTGTGAGGAAAATTACAGGAAATCACCACCTCGCCAGCGTTGTGTGTAGTTACTGTTAGCATGTATATGACTTGTAATTCGACAGTGTACAGTGAACAAAATTATTTCTTATCTCTCTCATTTTTGAAATTCAGCATATGTAATTTCCAGAATGGATAAGAAAAAGTGGAAGCGCAACTAATTTCTAGCTTTGAATCTCAAGTAAGTGTATTTGCACACAAATCCTCACTATACACCTATGCATTGCCGTTACATCCAGTAATGCCATCTAAAGCAGATTTTACGTCACATCAAAGCCATACATTGATAACTGAAGCCTCATAACGTTTAGAGCACACGTACAACTACGAATCGAGTTCACAATGGATCCATCACCTAGTGCTAAGTTAAAATCTTGTAAAAAAACTTGCATAATGTCAAAGAAAAAACAATACAATGTAAAAAAAATCGACATAATGTCACTTTTCAAGATACGTGATACCCGTGGTGGTAAACTCATATACGGAGTGGAAATGTGCCAAACAAGAAAATAGTATGTGTGCACTTCTATGATGGCCGTTTTTCTTGTGACGTATATAGATGCAAGTTTATCTTGGTTGAAACACATGATATCTTCAAGTAAATCAAATCAACATATTCTGCGATATTGAAATTAAAACATATTCTATTGATTTTCAAAATTAACTGACGAGACTCGTGCAAAGAAACTTTTAAAAGGTACAATCTGCCTTTCGTAACAGCCGTATACATATTCGAATGTACTGTTTTTGTATTTACGCAATTTTCGGAAAATAATCAAAAAAAACATGCATTGCCGCATTTGATTTATGTGGCCCATATAGTAACACCACTCTATTTTGAAAAATCGCCCCTCTTCATGTGTGTACCTAAATATATACTAGTCTACCGGCTGATGTCCGAAGATAAACCAATATCAGTCATTAAAAAAAAAATGGGAAAATATTTTGTTGACAAGTGCCCATATTCCCTAAGCGAATATTTTTCACTGAATAACGTAATTTATGTGTTTTTACTCAATTTTAATGTCTGTGTAAGTGCTATTTTAATTGGTCCTCCTCTGATAGATATTATATTATGTGGGTGTAGCTTCTACTTATTTAATTTCTCCACATTTTTTTAAATGCTCATTGGATGTATATATCTTATGGCCTCATAAATTTCAACGTTTGTATTTTAAGAGCATGTGTATGCATGTATGTAAAATATTTATCTATAAATTCAATAAACTGATCTAAAGAAATTTTCGTGTTTGAAGTAAATTTATATGAGCAAGTGAACTACAAACAGTGTCCATTTACACAAACTTTGAGAGCAGCGTAACTTCCCTGGCGATCCGAAGGTTGTGGTTTACAAAATGAAGTTGGGCTCGCAACAACGAGTGCATTCCCGAAGTTCGCCCGGCAAATTTGTCTGTTTGCGTCACCTGCTGCACCGGCTGGTCAGTTTGCTGCGCTCGATGGAAAATCGATATTGGGGAAAACGTTTCAAGTGGGTGTTGTAGTGTCACAATTGATTTGAATTTGGTTATTTATTTCAAAGTATATGGTTCAATCAATGTTGCCTATATTTAATCCCCTTCTAATATTTCGGGATTTTGTTCGCTACATCTGTAATATACTGAGTGACAAAAAAAAGGTAAACAACTATGTATGCTTATCCGATTTTAATAATTTTTGGCATATATGTTCAGTGTCCCTTACTAGTAAAATGATTAAATTTTCAGCTTGCTTCGTCAACTGACTGCAGAAGCTGGTTCAATAATGTGTTGAGGATACACGATTTCTTATACACTCATTGACACGCCTGGCCATCATGCTGTTGGGTATCTCATTCCAGGCTACTGCAGCTTCGTGAGTAAGAGCTGCTAAAGTCTGTGGAGGGTGTTGCAAATTCAAGAGCCTGCGATCTGTCATGTCCCAGACATGTTCAATTGGAGATAGGCCAGGCGATCGTGGCGGCCAAAGTAAACGGTTGATCCTATGTTGATCCATGAAGGCTAACGATGCTCTGGCAACATGCAGCCATTGTCTTGCTGAAAAATCGGGTGTGGATGGTGTTTAGGTATGGAATAAGATGAGGCTCCTCTAGTTCCTGAATATAGCGTCGGCCTGTCATAATGCCTCTGATGAAAATTAGTGGTGATGTGCTACCATAACCAATAGCACCTCATACCATAACTCCCACGGTGTGATGAACGTGACGATCTCTGTCACATTGTGGGTCACGTCTTTCAGCACGTCGCCTTCTCACTCTTGCCCGATCATCGTGCGTCCCTAGACAGAAGCGAGATTCGTCACTAAAGACCACCTGACTCCATTCTCGGTCCCACAGAATCCTTTCTCTACACCAGAGCAAACGGTTATGCCGATGTTCAGCTGTGAGAGGTAGCACCCATTGTGGGCGTTAAGAAAAAAGGCCAAACTGTCGTATGCTATGTTATACGGAACGAATACCAACCATCCTTCCATGCTCCTCAAACCACTGATTACCTATGTCTCTACTATTACAGAATATTTCTCTCATTGGCGGTATTGTCGGTATGTGGTCCATCCGAGACGTCCAGAACCCCTCGCTCGCTGTCATCGGGCTTCCTGAGTCCACGCTCGTTCACTCTGCAGTATACTGCGTAAGGATCTGTTGGTCATCCTAGAAACTTCTCTTATCGATAGACTGGCTTCACGCAACCCAACAATTCGACCCCTCTCAAAGTCACTTAGCTGGGACACCCGGCGAATTCCACGCACTCTAGGTATTTTGAGCCATCACAAAAAGGCTTCTCAATAAGCTGCACGAAATTGAGCATTTAACTGACACCGTAAATGTACCAAAACTGAATGAATCTTTATCACCAAACAATACACGCAGCCACCACAAAAACTTAACAGAAAAACTTGCCTATTTTATCACATGTTGTTGTATACATACATGTTGTTGTATATATACAGGGTGGAGCATCGCTTTGAGCAAAATCTTTATTATTGCATGGAGAGTCATGGTGGCCATGTTCAATATTTACTTGCCCAATGGGACAGTTCATTCTTCATTTTTGAATTACTTTGCTGCCAATCGTATTGATCTCCACTAATGATGATGTATTAGTTTTATTTAAGCTTTAAATCAATAAATCTTCAAAACTACTGAATTCAAGTACATCAATTTTATATCATTATAAAGGGAATTGAAAGACCTTTGAAATAAGGTATCACTCGACCTCCCCCTTTCCATTTAAGATTTTAGGGTTGGTTTCACCCCCGCCCAGGGGGCTGCACGTGCTAACGTGATTTTTTGCCAAACTTGCGTCTCCCTCGAAAACAAAATCGACGGGTCTGAGCGTTTTTCCAAAAAAAAACTGAGCTGCCAGTAAATGCGTCTATTTCGTTTTCGATGCGCCACCCTGTATATATATACAGGGTGACTTTAAAGTTGAGTCATTAATTTTCAGATAATGATTGTAGAAGGAAGATAAACCAAAATATGTGTGTAAAAATAAAAAAAAATTAAAAAAAAAATGTTACCTTGTTTTATAAAGTATCCTCCCGACAGGTATTTCAGTGCGGACCTGTGCGCCCAAAAGCATGTCACAAAAA